CCCCAACAGGGACCCAGGTCCAAGCACCAGGAAGCTGGCAGGGGGTCTGGGTCTGGGAAAGAGCAGCTGACATTCTAAAGCAAGACGATGATGACTCCGGGCTCTTCAGGGCTTGTCAACCTCTGCAACTGAGGCCAAGAGCTCTTCTGAGGTATCTACAGCCCAAGGGGGAAGAATGTGATCTTTAAAGCAAATTGCAGTGATTAGAGCAGCCCAGAGCTAGAGTGTGCTTCTGGGTGTGAACAGGCACCACTTGAAGGCTGATTGTACAAAGGGAATCATCAGCCCAAAGAGCAGCCCAGCTGGCAGGAAAGCAAGGTGCGCGGCAGCTTCAAGGCAGACACGAAAGTTCCATCTACATCTGTGCCAGCCGACGCTGTCTTCACTTATTCCATACGACTTCTACCCTTCTTCACAGCAAGGAGGGCAGCCTGAGGCCAGCCCGGGCCAGGCTGATGACCCCAGAACTGGATGTGCATCAGCAAGAGACAGAGACCCCTCTGCAACAGGCAGGTCCTTCAGACATGTGGGTCCATCTTCAAAAAGCACAGAGCTCTGAAGATGCACAAGCTGGTAGCTTCTACTAATTTCTTGCTGTTTATTTAGGGCTTAGGGCTGAGGCACCCAGGTTTCTCTGCTGTGTAACAAACTAGAAGCATCAACCTCAAAGCTCACAGGTAAGGTGCTACAAGAAGCACACAGGTAGACCTTGCTGTGGAAATGTGCTCAAAAATTGCCTCGCTCCCACCATCACTGCTGTTACCATGTTCACAGGAGAGGGGCTGATGTTTGGTCCCTGAGATTATCCAGAGAAACACCACTCCACCACCCACTCTCCACAGAGCCCTCTATTTTCAGCAAGGCGCTCAATCACAGCGCTCAATGCACAAACTTCCCAGTCCATCTTCTTCAACATTTGCTCAGAGCCTCTCAGCCCATCAATCTAAGAACCTGAAAAATGACAATGTGGCCACAGTGGGAGCCATGAAGGAAGGCAGCCTCCCCGCCCTGGCCTGACCCACAGACCCCCTGCTCTAGCAGCAGTGAGGGGAGCAGTACAGGATTGTGTAGTGAGGTGCCTGGGTCTGGAGAACTCAGAGCGCTGACAAAGGCTCAGCAGGGGCCAAGGAGGCTTCGAGCAGTAGTGACCTGGGTGCCCAGATCTGCCCACAGATCCCGAGTAGCCCCGGGGAACAGGAGGTGTAAGAGTTGCCTTCAACAACCACAGCAAAGCGAGGGCCGCCAGGAGAAACAGGCAAGGATTCCTGCACTGTGATTAAACACCTGTCCAAAAGCACCACAGACCCATTCATATTAGTGATCAATGAGCCTCTTGAGCTGTCCATTGATAGCCAGGAAAGGGAGAGACTGACCAAAAGACTACAACTCCCCTGAAACACAAAGGCATGCCGACACTCGTTCTTTCCAGAGGATCCCCCACTGATGCGCGACAAGCAGCCAACCAGAAAGCTGCCCTAACTCCTAGCCCCACAGACACCCAGAGGATGTGTCCTATCACACCTCCTTGTCATCCGGGTTCCCAGGTACCTTTGTCACCACCTCATTCCGAGCTCAAGCAGTGTCACCTGAGAGATGCTAGCCCTTTTCTGACATAGGAAAATTAAAGCTCAATACTTAACTGAACACACTTAGAGCGAACAACAAAATGCATCACTACCTGTTGAAAGTGCCCTCTTCTGCAAGCTGGAGGACCAACAAGCCCCCGCCCCAGTATCGGGAGGAGACACAGACCCTCCGCCAGGCTTCCAGCCTCACTGAAGGCAAAAACATTAAGCAACATACAAGTTCTAGGAAAACTTAGTCAAGTTTGGAGCTATGGCTCACTAGTAACAAGAGGTCAAAAAGCCATAACTCAAGGTATTGAAGGGCTATTTTCTGCTCCTGGCTGGTGGGCAGCCTGGCCCATGGCTCAGAGATCTGATGTCAGCCTGTCCTCCCCCAACAGGCTTTTCCACTCAGCATCTGTGGGCACAGAGTGCTGTTTTTCCCTTCACTTTGTTTCATAAAGAGTTTGACCAGCCCTTTCCTAGCTTCAGTCACTTTACTCAGTAAAGGGAATGGGAGAGATTCAGAGTCTCTCCAGAACTATGTGAAATGCTCTGACCACAATTATGAAGAGGGGCTGACGCAAACCTAAACCAAGTGGCAGCAGGAAGTGTTCCATGAAGGCAACAGCTACCTGGAAGAAACAAACTCTTGGGAGACAAAACCCTGCAGCATCTCTGTCCAGCTTCAGCTTTATGGGCACCAAATGAACGGCTGCTTATTTCTGTTCCCTGAGGAGGAGTGAGTGCCTGTGAACCCCTCAAGCCTAACATGTGAGTACCTTTGAACATCTTGTTCTCACCATCTTGCCAAATTGTCTCCTCCCAGTGAACCTCAAATTCTGTCCAACAGCCAGCTGCTCCCACCTTCCCAGGTTCCCTCTACATGGATGATACGACAAGAGCAACATTTTTGTGCAGAGAATGCAGAGTCCAGTCCCCTAGATCCTACCTGACCACACCACATGTGCCCCACCCTGGCCTAGTCAGTGTGTGTCAGAGCACAAGGCATCCTGGCTCCTCCAGCCTCCCTGCACTGAGCATAACACCTGGACACAGGTGTGTGCAACACAAGGTCCCACCAGCAGGACCCTGTCTGTGGGCAGTCTCAACTGTGACAGGCCTGGAGTCCTCCTAGGCCTGGCCACCCCACTCACCCGTGAGCCCTCAGAAGCCATCCTGCACAGGAGAAGAGCAGAGCTTCTAGGGGGGATGCCTGCCCAGCTCACCCTTGCTCCCCAGGACGACTGCTCTCAGATGAAAGCCAGGAGTTTCACAGTCCACAGAGGACTGCGCTCTGAGGCAGACGCCCATGCCTAAACCAGCCCCAAACAAGAGATAGATAGGGAATCCACATCCAAGTCCGCCAGCAATGGGACTGTCCAGGACGCCTGCCAGTGACAAGTGGCCTTCTCATGGTTCTTGGACTCAGCGGCTGATCTTCCTCTACTGGTCAAAGCAGATAATTCTACAAAGTGCCTCTCAGTTTGGCGGGAGAAAAATGCTGACAAGTTTCCTTTTCCCTAATAGTTCATTCTGTTTCAAATTCAAAGTAAAATGAAGAGGATCGCCTTGAAAAATGTTAGAGCTTTAATTTCAGATCACTTTTAATACCCGTTTCATCTGACAGTAGCTTTGAAAGCAAAAGGCAATCTTTATCATTTGAGGTTTTTAAACTAAATTGATGTGATTATGTCCAACGTACCAGATGCTTCTAAAAGCCAATTTCAAAGTGACATCAGCCCCCAAAATAAGAAAACTTTCCTTCTGGCTACAAATAAATTATTAAAATGCTATCTGCACAGAGGGACGGCGCAATGGTAGGAGCCAATGGCAGGCAGGCTGGCTCCTCACAAACCAGCCTGTCAGGCTGCAGGCGGCCCAAGGTTCCTGATGTGGCCACCTGCCTCTCAGCCTTCCTCACTGAAAGAGCCTGAATTCACTCAGCTGTACACCCCTGTTCAAGTGACTGAAGTAGGACCAGTTTAATCTCATCACAGCAAGCCTGCCCTCTGAGGGTAACTGCTCTGAGGTAAGCACCCAGAGCAGGCGTGAGAGAATCTGCTGGCAGTAGGGTCTGAGGAGACGTTTCCTTGTTCCAAAAAAGAGACCCAAGAAAGAGCATTTGATCTGTCCCAGTGTGTGACAGCTAGAACCATACTCTCATGTAACAGCAATTTCTGAGAATAGCCAGAGAACTGGTCTATTAAGCACACAGCTCCTTAAATTCTTGGATTCTAGGTGATTCATAACGAGCACCTGTTAACTACGCTAGAGCTTATGCTGATGAAGTGACTGCGAAAGGGGATGGGCAGTGACCTAGACAGCTCCAAGGTGGTGCTGACTCTAGAGGAACCTGTGATAGGACAGAGGACCGAAACTTTCAGCTCCATCCTCAACCTCCAGGGAGAGGAAAGGGGCTGGAGGTTGAGTCATTCACCAATAGTCAATGATCTAATTGAGCATATGTATGTAATAGAAACTCCATTTTAAAAAAAAAAGGAGTTTGGAGAGATTCCAGGCTGATAAGCACATGTGGGTGCTGGGAAGGTGGGGCACCCAGAAGGGGGCATGGAGCCTCTGCTTCCCCCCACACTCTGCATGTCGCCTCTCCTCTGCCTGGCTGCTCCTGAGCTATGCCCTGGTAATAAACGGTGAGAGAATATGAGCACTTTCCTCAGCTCTGTGAGCTGTTCTAGCTAATCATCAAGGCTAAGTGATGGTGGGGTCAGATCAAGGCAGCTGACCTGACCTGGCAGTTGACAGCCCTGATTCAGGGTTGTGTTATGGGGTCTGCAAGGCAGCTGGTGTCAGAACTGAAGTAGATTCCAGGGCTGCAGTGGTGGCAGAGAGCTGAAGAACTGCTATTGGAAAAGACACCGGGTATTTGGTGTCAGAAGGAAAAGCACTAACATCAGGCCTGAATGAGGTCACAGCTGCCTGCTTCTGGACTTCCTGCTAGGCAAGGAAACAAATTTTTCACTGCTAAAGCCAAAGGTGAGATTTTTCTGTTATTTACAGCCAAATGTGTTCTGCTATTCTGTTACTCTCTGTGGATATTCCCTGCAAGCATAAATCTATAAACACAAACACACACAAACACACACAGAGGCTTTTACCTTGGATATAGTGTCTACACCATACAATAGAGCCACTATAACGATGTAAATGCCCCTGACCAGGCATACAGCCTTTCTCAGAGCAGCCCCCCAGCAGGGATCTCTCAGTGATCTCTGTCTTTGGGATGACAGCATCCTGATGCCTTGATGAGTCTCACTGCAGCAGAAATGTGGGGCAACTTGCTCCCTCCTACCCCCTCCTGCCAAGGCAGACAAAACAGGAAGCACAGCAGTTCCTGAGCAGGGGGTACACACAAACTGGGCCCAAGCTTTCCCAAGCAAGAGGCATCCCCATGACCTCTAGGTCCAGACCTACCTGCTGGTGATGGCGCTGTTCCGGTCCTTCAGGGCAAGCTCTCTCTGCTGCAGCTCAACAACAAACCTGGACAGGTCTTCCGGCGTCCTGTGAGATCAAGAACACAAACTCAGCACCAGTGTTCTCTATAGTGGTTCTACACACGAAATGGAGGCCAAAGCCCTGTCAGCAGCTGATGACTCACAGACTGGGGATGAGTTGAGTCCCGGGCACCATGCCCAGGGTAGCGTGGTAGAGTACCACCACCATCTGGGATAAACCACAGCCCACCACTGGTTCCATCACATCAGGAAGCTTCTTTCTATAAGCCTTGATTTGTTCCACCTGTAAAAATAGGGTTGCTTCTAACAACTAGTGTCAGTATAGCAAGGTAATGAAATGATTGAAAAGAATATGCAAAAGAAAAATAAATCAAATAACAGCAAAGCACCTACCCAAGACCCAGGACCTAAGAGGAACTCAGCACATGACAATTTTCTTTCCAGGCTTCTCCTTCAAAACTCATATGGAACAGTAGGGGCAATAAGAACAGCAGATGCCCACGTGTCGCGCTTTATAATTTTCAAAACTACTCCAGATTAACTATTACAGTTAAGACACAGAGCAACCAGTTTTTGTCATTTCCATTTTACAAACAAGGATATTAAAAAGAAGTTGAATACTGGTTCACAAGTCCACTCTGCTACTCCATCTAAGCCCCATCTTTATTTACTCCAAGAAACTAAAAAGAACACCCAGTAGTGTGTCCACACAGCACAGGGCCAGGCTGCAGAACCCCCCGATATATAGTGGCCAAGTGGATGCAAGCACAGACTAAGCCCATGCCCGGGACTACACAGGGACCCACAGCCTCACCCTCCCCCATTGAGGGAAGAACCCAAGCAACTACCAAAGGTCCACTTTCCTTCCAACAGCCAAGGGGCTACGGCCAAAGCCACTCCTCGAGACAGCCCTGATGGTACAGGAGCCCCAAACAAAACTGCAAAGAGAATGGCAACCATCACTTGGGACCCAAGAGAACTCCTCTTGGCCTCCAGAAGAACCTAGTGAGCCCCTTCCTAATGAAATCGTCTGCACTTGTAGTAACAAGTCTCCCTCACAGACACTTGCCTAACGCCAAACCCAAGGCCCATGTTCTGTGACTCCTATATGACTGCGCCTCCCACTGGCCTTTCTGCTGCCACTTGAATGTGTCACATCTTCCACCCCAAAAACCTGTACTGGCTAACACTGTGCTTGGGAAGTTCTTCCCTGTCTTCCCAGGACTATCTCTTCTCAAAACACAGATTCCAGGGACAATGTCACTTCCTCCAAGAGGATTTCTCCATCAAGCCCCCAAAGTCACTCCCGCCCTTCTGGGTTCAGCACAGCACCAGCTTATTGGAGCTGTTGTAGAGTCTCTCAAGTGTGTGCCACCCTGGAACAAGAGCCCGGGCTGGTCAGCTCTGTTGCTGCTGGCCTGGCACAGAGCAGGACCTCTGCAGGCAAGAACCTTCCAGGAACAGTGCCAGATTACACAGAAAGACCCTTTCCTGTCCACTTGATGACAAGTTGCCTCACTGAACATTGTATGAGGACATGGTCTCAACATATAATCTCTAGGAATCTCTAGGCCTGGAGTAGAGATTTCTAACCCCAGTCCTCCCTAATACAAGCCAGTCTTCACATTAGCAAATATTTTCATTGAAAAGCTGTTTATCACAACAAGACCTCTGAGAAACTGAAGTGTGTATGGGGGTAAGAAGGGAGTGAGCGGGAGGGGCTGAGCCAGCCCTGCAAGCCAATTCCCATTCTTTTCTGAGCTTCCTAAAGTTTTCTACCCTCTAAGAGTTAAAAATATTAGGAAAATAAGCAAATTAAGTAAATCCTTTCAAGCAAAGAGATTTTTTTTTCTGAAACATTTGAAAGAGATATTTAAAATTTGTTCTGCATTTTTCTGTCACTTGGTGAGAGGGGCATGTAAACTACTGCTAAATCAATGGGAAGCATGTCTCTTGAACAAACAAAACATGCATGTCCACATCTGTTCAGCTCCTCAGTCCCTGCAGGCCCCATACCAGCCAACGTTGCTTGACAGAAACAGAGAGACTCTGCAGGGGGTGTCGCACTCCTTCAGGCCCAGACCCTGTCCCCTCAGAACTGCAAAGGGGAACAGCCCCTAGAGAGGCATCTGTCAGACAGCCTCACACCCTCTCAGGGGAGCTCACTCACTGCGATCCAGCTTTCTCTCGCCAAGGGCAAGTTGCCTGTAGTACCCTCCAAGTAGAAGCCTTCCTGGAACCCGGACAGCAATCGCCATCAGGCGCACTCAATACCAATTTAGAAACACGATTCTTGCCCTGAGGTACAAATTAGCCCCACAAAGCTGGGAGCTAGAGCAATACAGTGAAGAGCCAGGCTCACTGGTAAGCAAAGCCCTTCAATTTCCTTTGAAGTAAAGATAATTAGAAATGTAACAATTTAATAATGAGGGAGAAAATTGGGAACAGTTCAAATGAAGAGAAAAATGAACTTAATAAGTTGTCCTTCTGAAGGGCTCTACTCCCACTGATGGCATCTGGGTCTCCTAGTGACACCACAAGGCCAATGCAAGCATCAGGCTGTGGCAGTGGCCCCGCATCACATGGGGTCTCTCCCAGAAAGGCCTAAGTCTCACACACTTTTCAGTTTGATGCTTCACATGAGGCCAGAAGACACCCAAGGACTCTGAAACTTTCGAGTAGCCATTTCAACAAAGCACCAAGGGGTCTGGCTTCACATTCAAATAAACTAGGAAGAAAACTGGTTTTCTTGTACCCTCACTTTACCACTTCTCCCCTCACAAAGTGAAGGTCAGTCGTGTATATCATGTGTCCTGCAGGGTGGGAACTCTGTGCCAAGTGTCTTCTGGGTCTGTACCCCCTCCTAAGAGAGGACAAAGGACGTTCACTGCAGGAAAAGTCACACAAAGCGCAGTCCGCACACCCATCCAAAGCCACAGCAGGTCTGGCTCACATGCTACCAAAGAAAGGACACTCAGGCTGACCCATTGTGCCAAACCTCAGCCCCCAATGCCAGGTACCATCATTCAGGTATGCCATCCTCTTCCCACAGGAAAGACTTAGCGATGCAGAGCTCATATTCCCATATGCCCTGTTTCACAAGCCTGAAGGGCACAGGCAGATGTCCACATTCTGCTCTAGCTTAGAAGTTGCCCCAGAAGCTGCCAGAGAGCACACAGCAATAGCACCATCTTGCCTGCATCACTTCTCAAGTTGACAAACCTACTCTGGTTGAATAAAGGCTCAGGAATCCTAGCCACCCTTTCTGGCTAGTCACTAGGTTTCTACTTCTCTTAAAAAACACAAGGCACAGTAAGCTAGATGACAACACTCAAGAATGTCACATTAGAGGCACTCAGAGACAAAGAAAAGGAGGCGCTATCTTTAAAAGAAAAAGAGATGGGCCTTTCACAGAAGAGCCTGGATGCAGTCAAGGTGCAAATGATTCCAGTAATTCCAACAGTGCAGTAAGGCCCACTCAGACAGGTCACAGCACCACACCAGGCAGCCCTCACACACCCCTTCACCGCAAGAGAACAGCAGACAGGAGGAATCTTACAACCTTACTGACAATACGCAATTCAACCCATTTTAACACTGAGTCCAGGAAACAAGGACCAAACCTTGGTGTTGGTGAGAGTAACGAGTCATGTAAATGAGAAAACGCCTTTCAATTAAAAGTAATTACTCATCAATACGCTAAACATGGACTGCTTGTTCTGCACCTGTCCCAGGCCGGGGAGGTTCACCGTCTGTTTGGCAGCTTAAAAGAGAAACTTAAAGCCCTTGGCATCATCCCCACAGGTTACTTCAAGAGTGCACAGGGGAAACAAGGCAGCAGGCAGACAGTAACTTGGGCCCCCTGCAACTCTCGTATGCTCTTCCCTCTGGGTGTTCTTTGGCGTTCTCTCGTGGTCTCTTCCTCTCGCAGCTGTCGTTCGTCCTCTCAAGCTCTTCCACTATAGCTGTCTCCATGGTCATCTTTCTCTGAGAGACACCACCCTTACAGGTTCATCCTCCAGGCTCAGGTGTGCACATCCATCATGCCCACACCATGCTCCAGGTGTCCAGAGTCAGGCACGCATGCTCTGTGCCCACACTCCCAAGCGTTTTCTGCATTCGAGGCCACAGGTGACAGCCAGTGGCTAGCAGTGTAAAGCCTGCCCGTCTCCATCACAGCCTTAGAACTGCAGTGCTGAGCTCAAGGGGACACGTGATGGATGAGTGAGGGATGTATTTTAGGAGAATTAGTGTGCTGAACAGTGGCTTCAGGACACTGACCTAAAGAAAAGAAAAGCCGATGAGGAGGGCTTGGAATGTATGAACATTCTTGAGGCCACAGGAGTGAGCCAAGAGCAGGGTGGGTTTTTGATCAGAAAAGTGGGAGCACAGTGGGGAGATGCCCTGACTGTGTGTGAAGACTACACCTCCCCAGGGCCTGCAGCTTATTTTAACGGCACCTCTATGAAAGCACACCCAAGAGACAGAAGCAGGCAATCATGAGGGGTTGACTCCAGTTTAAGCAGGTTCCCTGGGGCACAGGTAAGGAAGCAAGTGGGCAATAAAGAATGTGCACATGGGTGAATCATGCCATCCCCCAGGTCTCAGGAGATGAGAGCACTTATCCATCTGTGTAGCAGATCCTGTGACAAGCCAGGTGTAGGGTAAGTGAATCAATCAGACTTTTCACACCACTAGCCTCCATGCCTCTCACCTGTAGCCTTGATCGTGTTAATGCAGAAGATGCTTGGGAGCGTGGGCACGGGGTGTGTGTGCCTGGCGGTGGACACCTGCAGCATAGGTGTGCACATGTGTGCATGTGTGCTCACCTGAGCCTGGAGGCTGGGATAAAAACAGCAGCTGCTGCGACAGAACAGGACGAACTGTGTGTCTACAGGGGAAGCCACCAGACAACACACAAGACAGAACACCAAAGACAGCCCAGAGAAAAGAGATTTTTACAGAGCTGGGAGGCTCAGCTGCTTGCTCCTCCCAGCCTGCCCTTCCGTCCCCCCAGGCGGAGGCTGACTCCTTGCATGCCAGCCT